GTTCAAATGTATTTTACCAAATCACGCAATAAACACGTTGTTTTTTTCTTGAGTAGCGTGAACTGATCGTGAACTCCGATTTGACCATGTTATATCGAGGTGGAATTGATTTTGAAATAATTTTAGCTTTAAATCTAAAGACTGTGTCTATCGCAGAAAGTATTTACTTACAAAGAAAGAGGTGCTAATTCCACAAATTTGACTAGCCGCTACGTATCGTGCGACTAGGTCTATTGTTTATAAATTATAATCCACGACTGGCAGGATGCGTGTCGGTCGGTACGTAATTAATAGTCCTCGTCGGAAGCATTTCCGTGGTGGTCACTAATTTTGAGTGACGGTCGGGGCCGACCGGCGTGGTGAACAAAGCTTTTTCACATCTGATATTGGCATGTCAAATATGAAATCAAGCGCCGAGGTGGGAACACATAGCGCCGAGGTCCCAAGTGAAGCGCCGAGATTCACAGCAAAGTTAGATTTACAGAAATATTTATTATGAAAAGGAATGAGTCTGTCAAAGAACTGGTCGGCGTTCATCCCTAATACTAGCGTCATTGCATGTTTGCAAAGTGTGTATTACATTCTTGAACACATCTCTAATCTTGCTCATTTCTGTCATTTCTTGCCTAATCAATCCACTGTGTTAAGTAATGCCAATTGTTAGAAAAGTGGGATCATGGGATCTTTATAACATATCACTGGACATAAATGTTTCATACACTGCTAGCATAGTAGTTTTTACATGACCTTGCATCTACCAATCTTAACACAAGAGTAAGGCTAAATAAAACAGATATTGTGATGTTGTGTGTTAATAAATAAATAAATAAATAAATAATCCACTGGCGGAGATTTATTCACTAACAGATAGAACTTTAAGGACCACGGTTGAGGTCCCCATGAGCTTGTGTTTGATCGTCTTGATTGAAGCCAGGACAGTGCATTGAATTGCCATTCGACAGAGAGATAGCGTTCACAGCCCTGTCATGTCAATATTAATATGTCAGCACTTACACTTCGACCTTAACATAAATAAACTCAATGTCCGGAACTGTCTCCTGGCACATTTTTTTTTTAAATTAAAAAAAGTTACCATACACATCATCTTATAAATCTTTGATTGGAACAAAAATATCTAATTTCTTTTCATTGAAAACCAAAAATTGGCTCAAATTTCATCTGTTGGCTCCAAAATTAGGGTTCATTTCCAGAAATATTGAAGAATATAAGAAAAAAAGTGTAGAATAATTTCAATGAGAAAGTCTGGTGGTGAAAAGGTTAATAGTTATAGAATTACAATTGATAAAAATGTCAGCATTATGCTCTGAATAAAAGTTGTCAAAAGGACAAGTTACTTGTGATAATATTGTTTATTGTCACACCTCAAAAATGATTGACACGTGACGGAATGTTTCCAGTGACCTGAGCGTGGGGCTAGAATCAACCTAAAAGTTAAACCTCAGTGAGCAACTTTGAAATCAGTAACAAATATTTAACTTAAACAGGATGACTTATATTCATTTTTAGAAAGGAGGAATATTTCTTACCCTGATGAACAGTCACGATTATGGTAACAAGCCAGGCAAGAACCACTCAAAAATAAAACCTGTAATTAATTAGAACACAATAGGATTCAATTTAAAAATACAAGATTCATTTGTCACTATCAAGTGAGATCCTCACTTGCAGCTGGCACAACTATCTCACAATCATTCTTGGAATATTGCAATATCTCAAAACAACCAGAGAAATATTCATGGTAAATTGTAATTGTATGTACCAGGTAATGTAACTATGACAATGCATACATACCGGGGTATTATTATTATTAGTAAGTACATATACAAGGCAACTTGGATACATGAGGACAGATATTTGTAAAATACTGACTGTTAACTTGACTACGGTAGTGAATGTATGTTGCAGAATCACATTTAACAACAAAGAAACAAATAAAAATGCATGATATATGTCACGTACATGCACCACAAGTTAATTTGACAGCTCCTCCATAGTGGTTTATAGAAAGGAGATCATATCTGCATCACTTATTATTATTATTATTATTATTATTAAGTACATATACAAGGCAACTTGGATACATGAGGACAGATATTTGTAAAATACTGACTGTTAACTTTACTACGGTAGTGAATGTATGTTGCAGAATCACATTTAACAACAAAGAAACAAATAAAAATGCATGATATATGTCACGTACATGCACCACAAGTTAATTTGACAGCTCCTCCATAGTGGTTTATAGAAAGGAGATCATATCTGCATCACTTATTATTATTATTATTATTATTATTATTATTAACCATTTTCATTTGGTGGAATGTTAGACAAAGTCAACAGTGGAGCTAAAAACATACTATTTCGTTTGCCAAAAATTTACAATAAGAATTATTTCATATACACTAAATAAAAACACTTACCAAAATGAAAAGAAACCACGTCATAATTTGTAGAGTTAATAACCACCAGGATACTGATGAATAAATGACTCCACAATTCCTACTTTCATGATTGACAACTCATTAGAGAAAACTATATGAGGATAATCTGGAAAACAAAAACAATGAGTACATACCACTAGATTAAGTGCATAACTGTCTAACATGATAAATACATGTTGGCGATATTTTGTATAGCGCCAACAGTGTTGTATTTGTTATTTTATCTGTGGTACGTTGAATCAAAATAAATAGTGAATGAAGTTCACCTGTGTCAGTGACTGTCTATGCTACACACAGTCTCTGTTGCAATTTGGGGAAATGTTAATTATGCCTAAGATGAAGTAATATGGCCGAAAAGAAAGACGGCTGCAAATCTGATCACAAATTTAATTAAGTATTACTGTAAAATACTTTATTTTAGCTGGAATTAATTTTCGCTGAAAAGACTTTTTGGGTTTTTTGTATGGAATTTATTTTCACTGATTTTTGACAAGTTGAATGTAAAATATAGAAAAAAAAAGTATATTCGCTGGATTTTATTTTCACGGAATCATCCCTTCAGCGAAAATAGCGAAAATAAATTCCAAGCGAAAATAAAGTATTCTACAGTACTAAAAAATACATGTACATGTATATGGATGTAAGATTTTCTCCTGACATGTACAGTATATATCAGCTCGTATACATGATTACGATTATTGGCGTGGGTAAACTTTAACTGACACTCTAAGCTTTACATTTACAAACATACCTTGTATGTTAGTCACTTTGTACACATTCATGTTTGACTTGTACTGTGTTCTCATTAAACTGTAAAGTGCCTTGATTTCTCACTATGAAAACATTGTGAGATGAGTGTCATTGAATGACACTATAACAAGTAAACTTGTACACGCTTATAATACTAGAAACATGCAGTTTACATTGTAGGCGTGAGTAGGCCCTCGTCGGCTGAACGACATCAGACCTCACTAACGTCTGACAGAATAGTGTATGTCTCATCGGCAAAATCAATACTGCAAATTCGCAAATTTCTCGCCTTCTTGCAATGAGTTTCAATGAATATTCATTTTGGTGGTTATGGCAACACCATCAATCAAAGCCATGTTTGCTTTGTCGGCAAAAATCACAGACTGTTTTCAACAAGATGATAAACATTGGGCGGAAATAAATTCAGCCGTAAATGGTTACGGTACTCTTTGATGGTTGTCACTATCTGACATTCCTGCAATTTGATTAGTGCAGACAAAAAATCGTTGGGGAAGTGAAAAACTACATCGTTCTGTCAGGTGTGTGTTTGGAGCACCGCGGAGAGCGCAACTCATGTGACCTCGTCAGGCTAGTTTACTCAAGTTTACATACAAAAATTGCATTTTAGAAATAGCAAATAGAAATGTACATTGTTTGTAAAGTTTGTGACCATATATTAAATTGCAAATTTAGAAGTTATTTAATAAATCTGATTTTTGTTGATGCTAGATTAGTCTATTATTCACTCTCTATTACACAGTATATACTATACTACTAAAAATAATTAATCTGGTCATGTGATCAGTGATTTGCATATCCAATTATACCTTTAAACATGTATTACACATTGAGCATAACAATTGGATCAAATCATTAAACCACTGCAAATGCTGAATCTGAATCATAACATTTTTAAAACATAATAAAACAAAATGCTAGTAATTTTATATATAATTTCAAACTTAAGGTTGATCGATGCAGTTTTGAAAAAAAATGGTGGGTGTGAGGTGGACATGCAAGAGGCTCTAAGATGAGATATAGTACCGGTAAGTCCTTTTATCTGATAGAGGGACTGTGCATGAGAACATAACTTCAGTTGAAATGAAAAGGTTGTGCTTACATGTGTAATTTCAATTATATGATACTGAAGTGTTGGAAAGAAGGGTGAACTTCAGATATAAATCAGACATCATTGAAAACTCTAAATACTTTGCCCAGTATGATTTATTGATTTTTTTCCTTACTTCAGAGCTGGTTTTTTTTCAGTGTAATCATGTAGCGATAAGAAATCAGAAGAAAATTAATACTAAATAGTACTGATCATGAATTTTCAGTCCTCAAGTGACCATGTTAGGAAAGTTGAATGGTACTCCTGCGTTTTTGACATTTGCACATAGTTTAGCTCATACAGTAGTGACAATAATTTGTGTCAAAATCTGAAAACAATTAATCTATTTAGTAATCTACAGTATTTGAACTTTTTGAATTCACTTTCAACTTTAAAAAAAAAAAACTATCAATAATATGTATAAAATGAAAATTTAGTTTCCATGAATCACAATAAAAACTCGTATGTCATTTATAAATTCACTAAAAATGTTGAATTGTTATTACATGTATATCAAAACATAAACAATTATCAAATTTTACTTTATTTGTCTTTTGTTATCATTTTTTACCGTACCTTACTAAACCCACAGATGGTTAAGTTGCGTAATAAGGTTATTATTATTATATAACGAGTGCGGCGAGAGCAACCGAATGCTGCTCGCGAAGCAAGCTCTATAGATAACATGTGTATGTACAGAAGAGTATGGAAGGAATCTATATACCCTAAGAATTTGAAAACGGAGTACTTCCGGTCAATGGGAGCCGCCATTTTGTTTCAAGTTGTTGTTTAACAAACTATGCAAAGCGAAAGAGTTTCCTCATGATAAAGCGTGCCTGCTACATATTATCATATCAATTTACAACACTATCATTTTTTACTATATTTCACTGGCCACAATTTTTAGATATATTGAGATATATCCTTGCTATAGGAAACAATAGTAATGCCCTAAAACAAACAAAACGTACTATTTTCACTCCATTTTATACCCATGTTTTTATTTCATTTTATTCATCCTTATATAATGAAATGTCACATATAGAAAAAGAAAATGATATTTTTACTTTTGACTAGGTTCTTTCTTAAAAACACCTTTGTATTTGATGTGAGCATATTTTTATCATGGAACTAACAAATATTTGTTTACCTCCATGTTTTTTTTGTTAAGATTTGAACACATAGTTATCTTTCTAGTTTCGGAACAAATCTTTACAGAATATCGTCACCGTCTGAGTGTAACAAAAAGTAGCAGTGTGTCAAGAATCTAGGCACCATGTTCAAATGGTTCCCGGAAACTAATATGATTAAAATAAATACGATATTATTACGTGATCAAGTTTGTTTCCCGGTCAACATTAAAACCAAGAACATGACGGCGAGACTTCTAAAGTGAAAGCTTACCTGATTCAGCATATATATATATATAGAAAGAGAGTATCTCTTTGGTGAGTGGATATTTCGGGAATTATGCCAACAAATACTTCGAGATATTTCCCAAAACACGTTGAGTGAACATGGCTTCCTGATGGTCATGTGACGATGTCGATGATATAGTAGAATCATATTCGTCAGATTGCCTAAATAACACTTGGATCATAACAACTTTAAATTGAATATTTTGTTTAATTTCACGAAAATTTATATTTTATTTACGGCTGATGTTTTTTTCTTGAAGTTCCTGGTTTGCTAAATATTCTTTCGAATTTTGTGTGTCATGACGAAACATTCTAAATTTAGCAGCAGGGGGATTTCCAGGAACTGGTGACGTCATTGACAAAACATGGAACGACCAAAGCCAAACGACTCCAAAACGAGCAAAACGGACCCAAAACGAGCCAAAGGAGTCACAAATCATAGACCTTAGAAAGAGATCTCTTTCTAAGGTATATGCACAAACGAACCAAAACTAGTCACAAAATCATAAAGGGTTAGTGATCAGCCTTTTTGAAAGGAAGCTTTGAACTGGTAGTTGGGGGCGCTGTTCTCATCTCGCTAGATATGCCCCAACGACGCAGAAGTCAACATAGGTAAATAAATAAAAAAAAAATGTAATGAATATATGTACGTGTGGAAATAAATGAATTATAAAGACAGTCATACAGAATAATAATACATCAGCAAATAATAAATTGGTCCGTGGCTAACTTAAAGGACGGCCAAGCGAATTGTAATATTTTCCGGAAACTACTAGTATTTGTCTTTTGGCGTAATTTCAATGAAATAATTAGCGGTGACGTCACACCCACCACGGCAACTATGTCACTGGTAAAACGTTAAAGTTGTACTAGTAATTGCTGCACATGCCCGTAGTTCGGACGACCCCCCCCCCATTCGCGCTCGAAAGACCGTCCCCTAATGTGAGCTGGTACACAGGTTACATAAAAGAAAGGGCATTTTACGTTTTTACAAGGAATAAAATGAAAGTTCCATTTACAGTAAAAATGTGTTTTTACACTTTACAGATAAAACAAATTCATAATTACATTTTACATTTTTTTATATATTTAATAAGATGTGTTTAAGAATGAAGATTCAAACAATATCACACATTGAATAATCCTTCGGTCGACGCGTTCTGATGTGACGAATCTTCTGGGTTTGTGTGACGCGCATGCGCGAATCAGGCCAGGATTTAATGTCGAACGTTAACGTGCAATATTATTCCGGTATGATATACTTCCCGGCGTTCTACTAAGAGCAATGTTTGCAGAGGACACTTGCACAAGGCATTAAATAAAGTGTAAATAATATTGCGTACATGTCATTGTAAAAGTCAGAATATTTGGGAACATCGTGTTAACTTCGAACGTAAATGGCGCATTACTTTAGCAAATAAGCAAACAAATTAAATATGCATATGATCATGACATGTATAATCTATACAGATACAGAAGATAAGGGAGGGAACTTTTGACAAGTTTTATAGTGACAAATTATAAAAAACAAGCCGGTAGGCTGGTTGGCGATCCGCTCCGCTCAAAAACAAGCAACATGTTTTTTGGCTGTTTCCATGGTGACATAAACGTGAAGCTGACGTCGGTTTATAACTAATACGAAGTTCGCAAACACCATTCAGTCTTTAGAAGTCACTTAGTTTAGTACTAGGACCACAGTTACTCTCTCCTAGTAGAGTGACTGTGCTAGGACGTATTCTGCTGTTACATTTATTATTTCCAACCGTTTTGCGATAGCATTTTTTAGAATGAAGAGTTTCCCGTAAATGCTGGAAAGCGAAATAATGAAATGGTAAATATTTACCTAAATTGCAGTGTGTTGACCTTCATAATAATATACTTCATAATGCAAAACACTAGTCACAGTGAGTAATTTAAATATACGACTCCTAATCGAAAAA